CTCACACATAAGAAGGTGTGCTTGTATTCGAGCTCAAGCTAAACCCCTTGGCTGGTAAACTCACCGAGAAGCGAAGAGAGAGAGATGGAGTTTTAGAGAGAAAGAGAGATAGAGTTTGAATAGGGTGTCATTTTAGTGTTTGTTTGGGTAAAAAATTTATGATCAAAGGGGTCTAGCGGGTTGTAAGGTAGAAAAGATGGAGACCTTTTGCTTACAAGTAATATTTTCAATTCTTAGGTCTCATGAGATATGAAAGTTAAAAATAGGGGATAAGGAGATATTTTCCCTAGTTATAATTGTCTTCTGCTGAAGGTTAGGCAGCTTCAAACCATAAAAAAGAGGTTATGCACACCCTCAGTGACATTGTAACTTGTACCCCTCATAGATGAAAGTGTGTTCCTTTCTTTTCTTAATTAGGTTGCCTGTGCTTGTGCTGCCTGCTATTCCACGAGACCTATCTGATAACCTTATGGAATGGTTTGGAAAATCTTGGGATGTTTTTGGCTCCCTCCATTCAATATTGGTAGATGATTATACAAAAAGGATGGGGAGATTACATGAGATGTCAAAGAAAGCTGGTACCATTTTCTGGTGGCCATTTACTCAGCACTCTCTTGTTCCTGAGGAAACTGTTACAGTTATCGATTCACGCAGTGGTGAGAATTTTGCCATTCACAAGGTTTGTACTTTGCACTAAGTTGCTTTTTTGCTTTTGCCTTTTAATCATTTTATTCGGAACTGTTTTACATTCTTGTTTGCTTTTATCATTTTCTTCGGAACTGTTTTACATTCTTGTTTGGTTTTCTCTTGTGAATTTTACTTTAACATTTGGGAACATCCAAACAATGGCTGGAACCTGTACAAATAGTTCTAGAAACTTGGAATCTCAAAATAGTGCATGGATAGTTGTTTCTTTTTTAAATGATTATTTCACATTCTCTCTGGTGTTTAGAGCACCAGATAAGAAAGGGATTATAAAAATTTATGTGATTGATCAAGGATAAAAAACAAACATACAAAAGGAAGGTTGTTTCTGGTGCTGTTTTGAAATTCCAAGATGTTCATAGCACCCACATGATTTATGCATGTCTGTCAGTCACTGGTTTTATGGTTTCCCTTAACAGTATTAGAATTCGTAGTGCAAACATTACATTCATTCTTACTTTCATTTTATGGTTGACCTGCCTTTCATCTTTGATGGATTCATTGGTATTATTCGTAACTTTTGATACAGGAATTCCTATAGTTTGCTGAGTTCCTGTTGCATGTCCCTGTGTGTTTGTTTTCCCATATGTAGGTAAAGAAAGACTCAAACTATGAGTTTATTTCTCACCAGTTTGATGCATGTGCTAGTTGGTGGACACAAGGACCGGATTCTACACTACAGGTAATTTATATGGAAAATACCTTATAGGAATTCTCCTGTGGGTAACCTACAACTGCTATGCTGGTTGTATGATAATTCCTTCTCTAGGATATGCATGGATGTTTCACTGCCAATGCTTGATATTCATCTTGTTTGCTCTTATATTTATATGGACATCTCATTTCAGTTTCATTTTCATTGTATATGCTTACAACATGGATGTTAATAGTTATATGAGCAATTTGATATTGAAATAGACATTCCAAGCGTTAACATTGACCTTTATGCCTAGTAGTCAAATTGGTCCTTTATGCCTAGTAGTTATATGAGCAATTCGATATTGGTATTTTAAATTTAAAATACCAAATCAGTTAAACTGGTCCTTATATCATTATGTGACAGTCATTATGTTGAATGGAATGTTGATTGTATTCATAGAACTGTCAAATTATTTCCTATTTTGTTTCGTTTGGAGGCTGAGGTTATGTCTTTTATATCTAAACTTCTGCAAACTTAGCACATGATACTTTTTAAATGTTAGAGATGTCTATCTTTTCCCACTTTCCTTTCCTGTTATTTTTCCGTGTTGCAACCTTTTCTTGCATGAAGAGTGAAAAATGTAAAGCAGTTGTCTTCACTCCAGCTGAATTATGCCGTGAATTTTCTTCACTATAGCCCTGTGATTAGGTTGTTTCAGATGGAGCTTGCAAGGGATATGGGTTATGCAACTGCTAGATATGGACATATAATGTTCCCTGAGAATGTCTACGAGCCAGCTTTACATTGTGCGGAGCTTTTGCTTCTAGGTGTAGGAAAAGGTTAGTCACTGTGTTGTGCTTATCTTGTGTTGCAATCTGGTTATACTTTTGATTTAGAAATTTACTGAGAGAAATGCATATTTTTCTTCATTAATCGTATGAGATACTTCTTCATGTCCTTTATTGCATGGACACATCTGCGTGTGTCCATGTCAGACACAGGTACAAGGTGTCAAATTCTTCATGCCGTGAAGAGTAGGAGCCAGTGAAGCACCGTGAAGAGTAGGAGCCAGTGAAGCAGATATTATATAAAAACAAAGATCCCAACATTGTTTACTTATATTCTATCTCATTCAGAGTGGCCAAAAGAATCATTTATCCCTTGGTTGGCTAAATCAATACATATTTTTGAAGTTTATATGTTTATTGAAAAGAAAAAAAGTTACTCTCTAAAATGATGTGGCCAATGCTTAAGGAACAACAAGAAGAATCCAGATGAATCTGTGTCGGTATGTGTGGTGATACGTGTCCGACACGGTTAAGGAACTACAAAAAAATAAATCCATGTCGCATAGTTCCTGACTATGGAGTTTAGGTAGGACCACTTGTTATTCTGTAATTTAGCATTTCACTACTATTTTCCGAATTCTAGTGTGCCATCTATGAATATCAGAGGAGTACTATTAAGATTTGAAGAATGCAAGAGGCATCCCATTAATCATCATTGATAAAATTGCATTGACGATAAACTGCATTTTGTTGATAATTTACTTTCATTTTCATGATTTACCGGTTAGTTGTTATTGCTTATTTGCTTTATATAAAGTAACTAGGGCCAGTTTTAGCTTGCAGGATGGGCTTCACGAGTATTCTTTTCAGACAATGGTTCCACATCCATAGAAATTTCTCTGAAGATGGCATTTCGTAAATTTGCTTCCGATCATGCACTTTTTTGTCCTTCCCAGCTGAAGTCAGTTGAAGGTACTGAGTTCAAGGTACGAAGATTTCATTTAGTTCAATCAAGGGGATATAATTATTTCCCAATTATTCAATATAAACTTTATTTTATGGGTCTTCTGTTTCCTGTTATTGATATTTTCTTTAAACTAGAGATTTATGCCATTAGTTTTGTTGAATCAATTTATGGTGGTAGATGAAATTCACTAATTTTAGTGCAGGTGCTTGCTCTTAATGGATCTTATCATGGTGATACTTTGGGTGCCATGGAAGCACAGGCACCATCACCATATACAGGATTTCTCCAACAGCCTTGGTAAGAATTATTGGCCATACAGAATTTTAATAGGTCCCTATTGTTAAATGATGCTGGAACTCCAGGAAAATAGTAATTAACTAATAGTCTCTTTTCTTTATTGTTAGCTATTACTAGAATGATGATGCATCCAATTTAGCTGTCACTTATTCATATATCTATTGATCTCAAAATTTGTTCATACATCCATGTATCATGTATTTGCTGGAAGTTAGCTGCTTACATGTTTCGCATTTTTATGCAGTATTATCATTGCTTCCTTGAAACATGTTCATACATTTGTATTATTTGTTTTCCTTTAAAAGTAGAAAATCTGTAATAAATAGATGGAAATGTAATTGATAGACTAATGCAAACTTATTGCTGATCAATATTAATGTAAAGAGCAATGATTTCATGCAACCATTGTATAGTAATATGATGCAACAACCTTAAAAAACCATCTTATGGCCATTTGTTTGATCCAAATTTTGAGATATACACTCCTTTCATTCTAATGATCAATCACTAAAAAAGGAAAAATTGGAAACACAACCTAGAAAGTATTTTTTTTAGTCCAATTAACATAGGTCGTTCATTTTGGTGAGATGCTTAGATCTAAGTCTTAGAAGGATTTATTCATTTTCAATTTTTTTTGATGGCTTTATTATCATTAGATGAGCAATGTTAAAAAAGAAAAAAATTATTTTGAGTTTATAAAGGCTAAGATCTTGAAATTCACAAATCAATGGTCTAGATTCAT